AAACCCTAAACTACCACTCCACATATCACTCCTCTCCACCATGAAAGCAGTCTTATGAAAAGGAAAACCTCAGTCTCTAGTCTTTTAAGAGAGAGTGGGAGGGAGGGAGCGAGGGGGAGAAAGAGAGAGAAACACCCATGTGACACTGACCAAATTAAAACCCAAGACTGCCCTGGCCAGTGTCGCTCAATGGATAGAGTGTCAGCCCTTGCACTGAATGACTGTGGGTTCGATTCCCAGTCAAGGGCATATACCTGGGTTGCAAGTTCAATCCCTGGCCCCGGTTGGAGCGCACGTGGGAGGCAACCAATCGATGTCTCTCTCTGTCTCCCTTCCACACTCTCTACAAATCAATGGGAAAAAATATCCTCATGAAGATTTACCAAAAACAAACAAAAAAACCCACACTCCTCCATCCTTCCTTCACCTTTTCTTTTTTCTCCGTCGTGCAGCTGGGTCTTCATCCTCATTGTACTCCCTTGGCATCCTAGAAGAGAAAGAAACTCACTGATAGCAAAATATTACCACAGCCCCAGAAACCCTAAGTGGCCGTGAGGGGTGAAGAAAGGTCTAGAACATCCATCGCCAACTTTCGGACCTCAGAGACCACCAGTGGTCTGTGGACCACCGGTTGGCAACCGCTGCTCCAAAGGTTTCCTTAAACCAGCAGTCGCCAACCTTTTGGACCTCATGGACCACCAGTGGTCCGTACAACACCTGGTTGGCGACCGCTGGTCTAGAACACTGGCCAAAGCAAGAGTTTCAATCAGAAAAGATCCATGTTAATATTTGTAGGTGAGTGGTTCTCACTTTAGAGAGGATTGTAACCACTTAAAGGACTATTAAAATTATGTACCCCAAAATATTTGCCTCCAAATCTGAGTCCATGGGGCTAGAATGGGCCCAGAAATCTGCCTATTTAAGCACCAGCAGCAACTCTAGTACAAGTGGTTCATGGAACATATTCTGAGAAGAAGGGAATCCCAGAGCATGCCAGGCTCCACGGAGCTTCAATCTCCAGAAAGAAAGAATCAGAACCACAGGCTTTGTTCAAAAAGAACTAGCCTTCCAGTTCCTAAGACACCTAGATCAGTAGGTTTTCTGTAGGAAGGAGATGGGAGACAGGTTGGATCACCCCAGAGCTTACTCATGGTGACGTGACTTCGAGGGTGGTGCAGAGGTAGGTGCAGCCCTTGGGGTCATGAGAAGTTTCCTGAAGTCTTCATTAGTGAGTTTTGATCTAGAAAGCAAAGATTTTAAACATTAGTATCCAATAAGATTTGGAAAAAAATATGCAAAAAAATGGCTAATTTTACTGGAAATAAGAAAATACAACTTAAAACAAAAACATGCCATCTGATGAGGTAGCTCAGTTGATTAGAGCACCATCCCAATAGGCCAAGGATGCAGGTTCCATGCCTGGTCATGCAAGAATCAACCAATGAATGCATAAATAAGTAGAACAACAGATCAATATTGTTCTATCTCTCAAATCACTAAACAATAAAAAAGAAAAAACATGCCATACCCTGTCCAGTTTTGCTTAGAGCATCAGTTCAAGCACCAAAGGGTCTCAGGTTCAATTCCCAATCAAGGGCATGTACCTGGGTTGCAGGTTCAATCCCCAGCCCCATTGGGGCATGTTCAGGAGGCAACCAATCTATGTGTCTTTTTCACATGGATTTTTTTTTTTCTCTCTCTCTCCTTCTTTTCCACTCTCTCTAAAAAAGTAAATGGCAAGCCCAGCCGGCATTGCTCAGTGGTTGAGTGTCAAGCTATGAGACCCATGAACCAGGAGGTCATGGTTCAATTTCCAGTCAGGGTGCATGCCTGGGTTATGGGCTGGATCCCTAGTATGGGGCCTGCAGGAGGCAGCTGATCAATGATTCTCTCTCACTATTGATGTTTCTATCTCTCTCCCTCTCGCTTCCTCTCTGAAATCAATAAAAATATATATTTTTTAAAAATCAACGGAAAAAATCCTCAGGAGAGAATTAACCAAACAAAGAAACATGCCACTTCTAATGCATCAGAGTGCTAATTTTTTAAAAAACTATTATCTTGCCGAAACCGGTTTGGCTCAGTGGATAGAGCGTCGGCCTGCGGACTGAAAGGTCCCAGGTTCGATTCCGGTCAAGGGCATGTACCTGGGTTGCGGGCACATCCCCAATAGGGGGTGTGCAGGAAGCAGCTGATCAATGTTTCTCTCTCATCAATGTTTCTAACTCTCTATCCCTCTCCCTTCCTCTCTGTAAAAAATCAGTAAAATATATATTTTTAAAAAAAACTATTATCTTATTTCCTCAAAGAGTTGATTTCTAATCTTAGACTTAATCTCTTCTGACTTTTTTTAAAATATATTTTCATTGATTTCAGAGAGGAAGGGAGAGGGGAGAGAGATAGAAACATCAATGATGAGAGACTCACTAACTGGCTGCCTCTTGCACACCCCCTACTGGGGATCAAGCCCACAACTCAGGCATGTGCCCTTGACTGTAATCGAACCTGGGACTCTTCAATTCCCGGCCAACACTCTATCCACTGAGCCAAAACAGCTAGGGCCAGAGTGCTAATTTTTATTTATTTTTCAGTGTTAATTTTTAAAAACATTTGATAAATTAACTATGAGAGAGAATTTGAAAAGTGGATAGTTTCATACACTGCTGATAAAATGTAACTAGAATCTATTTGGAGGGCAATCTGACAGTATATATTAAAACTAGAGGCCCATTGCATGAAACTTGTGCACGGGGTGTGGGGGTGTGTGTGTGTGTGTGTCCCTCAGCCCGGCCTGCACCCTCTTGCAATCCAGGACCCTTTGGGTAGGGTCCCTAGGCCTGGCCGGCGATCAGGGCCTATTGGGGCTTTCCTTCCCCCGCCCCACCTCCCCAACTCCCACCCTGCTAGTAGCTGGCCCCACCCCCACCACTGCCACTGCTTGCCATCTGTGCGGCAGTGCCCCCACTCCCCTGCCACTGATCTCCCTCTGCAGGAGACAGGCATGGGGTACGATTGCTTGGCTGGCCTGGGTCTCCCTCTGTGGGGCAATCGCTGGCTGGCCCTGCACACCCACCACAGCATCGCTGGCTGGTGGGCCCTGCCCACCCAGCCGGGGCTCCACAATTGATCACTGTGCAGAGGGAGGCCCCTGCCCACACACCGCAGAGCTGCCAGCTGGGTAGCCTGGGCCTCCCTCTTTGGGGCGACTGGATCACGGGGCTCTGCGATTGCCCCCCGCTTTCCTCCCAATCGCCCCGCTGGCTGGTGGCTTGGGTCTCCCTCTGCAGGGTGATCGATCATGGAGCCACCCCCATCAATCGCCCCACAGAGGGTGGCCTGGGTCTCCCTCTGCGGGGCGGTCATGGGGCGATGGTGGGGCCCCCCAACCAATTGCATCGCACCCGCCTTGGCTGGCCTGGTGCCAGTGCATGTCATAGCGTGGTTGTCTGGAAGATCAGACGGTTGTTCTGCTGTTCAGTCATTAGGTCGATTTGCATATTACGCTTTTATTATTATAGGTTTAAATGTGTACATCCTATGACCAAACAATTCCATTCGTCTATATATGGCCAATTACTAGCATCTATCTATAATAAAAGTATAATATGCTAATTAGACCAGACAGCCAAATGACCTTCCGGACAAAGCCACGGTGGTGGGGGCCGAGGCAGTTAGGGGCGATCAGGCAGGCAAGTGGTTAGGGGCCAGGGGTCCCAGATTGCGAGAGGGTGCAGGCCATGCTGAGGGACCCCCCCCCAATGCATGAATTTTGTGCACTGGGCCTCTACTATATATATAAAAGCCTAAGCGACCGTCCAACAGCTATGACGTGCAATGACTACCAGGGGGCAGACACTCAATACACAGGCAGGAAAACAGGGAACAGACTGATGAATCTCAGAGGGAAGGGGAGAGGGGGAGGGCGGGAAGTGATTAACCAAAGATCTTATATGCATACTAGAGGCCTGGCCTGCAGGGATCCTATTAAAGGGGCAAGGGGTACAATTTTTTGACCATCCTTGCTGACAAGACACTCAGGATTCTTTGACCATCACCACCACCACCTCCACCTCCACCCTGCTCATTGTCCACCTTTTCCCCATGGTCCTAGGTCAAAACACTCACTGGTGGAAGGAGTGAGGATCATCCACATCGTGGCCATCTGGGGCCAAAGGGTTGGAGAACGGTTCACCTAAGAAAAAGAATTAGCATAAATTCAATCAATCTCTTTTGTGTCAGGTCCTGTGCAAAAGTCGGGGATTTAACAGTGAACAATACAAATTTGCTTTCCTGTCAAATTGCTCACAATCTAGTGAGGAAGAAAAGGCAAGAACCACAGTAACAATCCAATGCAGTAAGTAATGAAGTGGAAAAAATACAAAGGGTTGTAGGGGCCCAGAGGAGGGGACCCCTAAACCAGCGCGGGAGGATCAGCAAAGACTTCCTCGGGATAACATCTAAGATGCCACGTAAGAGACAAATTGGCTCAACCCAAATTAAGTGATACCGGGTTGGGGAGAAGGGGAGAAAAGTTCACGGATCAGCTCTATCTGCCGTAACCTGGGGCAAAGACGAGACTTAGAGACAGTCTGGGCTGCCCAGCCTCACTCGGGGCCCAACGGCTTCCCCGGCTCCAGGCGTCACTCCGGCCCTTCTCCACCCACCCGAACACACGCCCGGTTTAAAGCCAAAAGAACCCGCCAAGTGTCCCGAGTTCCTCAGCGGAGAAAGGGCAGATAATCCGATACTTACTATCCCGCTCCGGCATATTGTCGGCGGTCTCAACGCCACGAAGCACTCAGTCTCCAACAACAACAGAGCAGCGACAGCCTTCTCCCCACAATGCACCTCCGCAAACAACCCACAGTGCCTTGCGCTCCACACTCTCGCCAGGAAACTGGAGGACACCGGGGCGCCCTACAGTAGCTACACGTGGCCCCGCCCCTTACGTCAGCCCAGCTATCGCGGGACTGGAGGTCCGCGATTGGTCGGTCTGGAGAACTTGGCCGGAAGGCCTGGCAGGGGCTTGGGTACCAGCGGAGATGGCGGCGGCGGCAGCGGCGGCGGCGAGTCGGGGCGTCGGGGCCAAGCTGGGTCTACGGGAGATTCGCATCCACTTATGCCAGCGCTCGCCTGGCAGCCAGGGCGTCAGGTGAGTCGCAGCGTAGTGGGCGGGCGGGCTTCGGGGCTTCGGGGTCACGACCTCGACCTCCCGGGCGTTTGAGAAACCCGCGCCCACACCGA